AGTGATCCTATAGCGTCGTTCTGTTCTACAGGGGACTCAAAAAGTAACATAGCGCATACTGAAATACCGGTATACCGGGACCGTTAACCTTTCTTACGGTTTCTTTGTCTTTTATTGTACCATTCATAAGCTTTCTTAAGACAGAATTGACAAAGAACAAGCAAAGTGATATTGAAGACATTTCCTAATCTGTTGCCATAAGACAGATCAAGATATCAAAGTGTAACCGTCTGGGTAAATATCAAAACTACTCACCCCATCATCTTCCTTCTGACCTTTGCGTCATATCACAGAAAACAGAGAATCTCGATCGTTTAACCGTTTAGGTATGGATAAAAAAAGTATTTAGCTCACCATCTACCAACTTTTCTCAATTGTAAGAAAGCAGGGAACCCTGGTAACAAAACACTCACCATTCACCCTCCATCCTCTGTCGTCATATCACAGAAAACAGGAAACCTCGTGATAGTGTTTGCTATATAACAAAACTAATCACAGTCCCACCTCCATCTTCTGACGTCATATCACAGAAAGCAGGAAATCCCGTGATAGTGTTTTGATAGATAACAAAACTACTCACCGTCCAGCCTCCCAGTTCTGTCGTCATATCACAGTAAACCTGAATTCCGAAACCATCAGGGTATATAGTGTAAACACCGTCCTGTCCCAATAAACTGAGGTTCTTGTACAAAATCGCAGTACAATCTTGGTCAACTAGAAAATATATGTAGAAAGTATATTAATTCTTTATTATTTGGCCGGTCAAAACATATCTTTAACAAGAGGCCCAGGGGCCTTATAAGTCACCTGAGTATCGTGTAACAACTTTCAAACAAATAACTTAGGTTCGTGTTTTAAACAAGAGGCCATGAAATTTACAATTCATAATTTTGAAAGAGACACCATTGCTTATCATAACAAGAAATCTGTGAGCCAATGTTCACTAGTAATACCCCCGCAATGATGTAAATAAGCACTATCATGTTAATATACACAAGTTTAATTACAAGCAGATGCACAAAAAATATGAAGTTGACATCAGATACATATCAAAATTAATCCCACCATATGGCATGCCTCAACAAAGAGTGTACTAAAATTTCAAGCATCTGCTATGAATAGCTAATGAGAAAACTGCGACGAAGATTTGTTATGTATGTAACGGACAGACGCACAGACAAACAGACAAAAATGTATCCCACATATGGCATGCCTCATGGAAGATTGTGATAAAATTTCAAGTATCTGTGATGAGTAGTTGCTGAGAAAACTGCAACGAATTTTTTTATGTATGAAACAGAGAGACGCACAGACAAACAGGAAGTTGACATCGGATTTGAAAAAAAAAACGTATCCCAATGTATGGCATGCCTCAGAGAAGATTATGTTAAAATTTCTAGCATTATTTTCAGACTATGTACCCCACCCCCCACCCCGACCGAGGGATGGGGGGCATAAAAAATAACCATTTTGCTAGATGCACCTTTCTTCATCATGAATAGATATACTTGGATCACTGGCATAAAACCCAGGAGCAAAGGAAAGATTTTCAAAGAATCAATGTATTTTCACTATATAATCTATATTGCCCCTCCCTAGCACTAAAACCCCTGATCCTGGGGCCATAAAGTTCACAATTTTGGAAGAGGCACTCTTGCTCATCATAACTATGTGCTTAGTTAGTTAATTTAATACCCAGAAGTGGAGAAGAAGATTTTCAAAGAATAAATGCATTTTCACTATATAATCAATAGAGTCCCACCCTAACACCAGAACCCCTGACCCTGGGGTCATAAAATTACAATATTGGAAGAGGCACTCTTGCTCATCATAACTATTGTACGTAATTAGTTCACTTAATACCCAGAAGCAGAGAAGAAGATTTTCAAAGAATAAATTAAATGCATTTTCACTATATATTCAATAGAGCCCCGCCCTAACACCAGAACCCCTGGCCCTTGGGCCATAAAATTCACAATTTTGGAAGGGGCACTCTTGCTCATCATAACTACGTACTTAGTTAGTTTATTTAATACCCAGGAGCAGAGAAGAGGATTTTCAAAGAAATAATGCATTTTCACTATATAATCTACATAGCCCCGCCCTAGCACTAGAACCCCTGACCCTGGGGCCATGAATTTCACAATTTTGGTAGAGGGCTCAATGCTCAATATATTCATGCCAACAGTTTGCCTGCTTGATGTCCAGGAGTAAAGGAGAAGATTTTTAAAGATTTCAATAATTTTAGTGGTTTTGGCCCCATCCCCCACCCCCCAGGTCCCAGGGGGGCAGGGACCATGAAATTCACAATTTATGTTTCCCTTCACCCATAGATGCTGTATACCAAATTTGGTTGAAATTGGTTCAGTGGTTTCAGAGAAGAAGCTGAAAATGTTCAAATGTTAGCACACGACGGACGACGGACGACGACGGACAAAAACAGATAGCAATAGGTCACCTGAGTTACTCAGGTGACCTAAAAATAGGTCAACTCAGTGCACTATAATTAGATGTTAAACTTTCATTGAACTCTGCGCACTAGCAACACTTTTCACTGGTTCACCGGTACATAAATGGTTGTCAACACAAACTGTTTGGTAAAAAATATTATATTTTCAAAGTAGTTTTCCTACCATTATCTGCTAAACATTTAAATTGTTTCAGTTTATTTCAATTTTAAAAAGATTCGAAAATGGTTAACAAACATTCAGTACCTGACTGAGTTTCACGAAAAGTTTATAAGAAATGTTTTATTATTCCCTTCTTGATCGGTATGAAAACTGCTCAAAACTACAAAACATACCTATGCATCTAAACAAAGCTGTCGTCCATTGTCCATTGTCCTGACAGGTGGTGTAGAGTTCTCCAGACGGTTCGTGTCCATCTAAACATGACGAGTAGTTGTAGGTGTAACCGACAGGGAAAAGGCCTGGTGGAGAGGGCTGCTCTGTGTTTGGGATTTCAGGAGGAGAGTCGCAGGTTCTACCTGTAAAATAAAATATAGCAGAGCCATGTCATCGGGCCCCTTATGTTCTCTCTTACTTTATCTTCTTTTCAAACGATTGGACGAGTCATTTTACGTTGAATTTAATTATTTTGATTTTTAGATTTAAATATTAAAAAATACAATACCTTCCAGGACAGGGACACAGTTGCCACTCACACACATGGATGTGTTATCACAGGTATGGTTGAAGCAGTCGCCCGACACCTCCTAAAGAAAAAATTATGTAAATTCGTAAAATATCTTTACAATTCCTAAAATTGTTTGAATTCTTTAGCTATTAGCACATGATATCAATTATTTGTATTCAATATTCCGTGTCTTACATCAGGGAAATGTTCACTATCGACATGGATGGTGCGTGGTGTAGTTACGCGAAGACTTGGGTACACAGTGGCGGATCTAGTATTTAACCTGCAGGTTTTATAATCTAGATTCCAGTCTACTGATTGACACAAAGCAAAATTATAGCAGAGTTCCATGCACGTCCAAACATCAATGTTGACCAAAACTTTAAAAGCATGTCCCACTCCAAGTGAGGTATTTTCATCATAAATATTGTTATTACTTCTGAAAAGTTTAGAAATACATTGAGAAAAACAGGGACTTCTAAGTCCTAGAACAAGTACAAGGACATATAAAGTGTTCATCATTGAACATGCGACTAGTTTCTTCAATATGAAAGTTCCCTCTGGACAAGTTGATCTTGACCACTGTCGGCATAACCAAGTATTGACTTGCACAAACATCAGCATTGTCTGTCATAATTTACTTTAATGGTTCATCATGAAGCCATGTAAATGGCCTGATACATTTGTTTACTGTCCATATTTGATAATCAAATACGATTTATTGACGTGTATTATTGTATTGAGCTTTATTTGAGTTTTGATTTTAGATGCTGTTTACAGTCCTGGGTATTCCTCCTTGTACACCTCATCAGGGCGCAAAACTTTGTAAAAGAATGTTTGCGAGTGGTAGTAAATATGAAAGCAAATTTCAAAGGATAGATAGTTGAGTAGATTGGTGTCGACAAATATTGACATGTCTTACTTGTCAACAGCTCTTCTTCACGAAATTGGAAGCATTCAAATCAAATCGATCAGCATAGAGATGTAATGTTAGACCGGTATCGTCTTGATTAGTCTCGCATCAACCGATAGAAGACGGTTTTTAGTCCATGTATCTACTCAGTTTTCAAGCTGTACAGGGTGCTGCACAGTCTATCTTTAAATGACATCATTGTTATTTTAAAATCCACTTATTAGCTTCATTTTACGGGTAACACGTCAATGGTTGCTCAACTTTTGAAATTAAGAAATACGAAAGAAACTTGCATTGTATCCATAATCTGCTTGAAATATCAAATATAAACTTTACTTCTCGAAAATTAATATGGAACTATCTAAAATTAAATTTCTTTTCAAACTATAGTAGCTTTTAATATTATACCAGTGAACTTGAAATAGAAAATACCACAAGATGACAGATTTTTTTTCATATCTGGATATTATACTATAAAAAGACGTTAATAATTATTGTATCCTAATAATAAAGCTTTAAAATTATTGACAAACAAGCCGAGGAAACAAGAATATCCTCAGTATCGTTTAAAGTCATAATTTCGTATATTCTATGGTCGATGCAATGAACTTGTCAGCAGAAAAGAAGACGTTGACACCTTGTCAGAATGAATTAAATGTATAAGATCTATGTTAAAATTGCGTATTTGAATACTGAGGGGCAATATGAAAACCATCTATCCTTTTGTGTTCAATAAACCAGAAGTGTAAACAGAATAAGATAGATTACATGATCAGTACGTGCTGGTCCCTGCCGACAAAGCAGGTAGCAACATTGTCTTCGTTTGCAAGGCTCATTATATAAATTGTATTTTAGAAGAACTTGAATTAAATTCTACACATGGTAATCCTTCTTATACCCGTACTTCCCTTTCTGAGGAAAAGATTAAAAATCAAAATCATATGTCAGTTTTAAATATTTCAAAATATTCCACAGAGCAAAAATGAATCTTAAATACCCTATATGGACAAACACCACCAAATGTTTTCCCATAGACTTCCATACAAACTTTAGCCCCTCTCACTGATACATATATTGAATTTCGGGCAAATGACCTTTTTGTCGTGAAAGTTCGAGATATTGGAAAACAAAAAATGCCAGAAAAAATATACCGTGCCGTTGCACTTTTACTTTCAATTTCCATTTGTTTACAACTAGGTGCGTTTGACACCAAATGAAAATCTCTAACCAAAGTGCATCCCTCCCTTCAAATTTTTACCTGTAACTCCTATATACCTCTAAGAAACCCAAGTCTTGATATCAGATTTTTATCAACTTTATTTCACTTGTCAAATACATAACAAGTCTTTTCTCTTATTGACCAATCACGCGCCAGCTAGCATTTTCTCCTCCGCACAATCTTGGGTGTCCAAAATGTCTGCGCCCATGTATTTGTTTATGTAGGGGTTTTTCCTATAGAGTAAAAGAAACATTTGTTAAAAGTGGTCAATTTAG